AGCTCCCCCAACGCCGATGGGTATAGTATTACTCTTATTTTGCGGGGAAGCAGTACTCTACTTCACCTATCTCCTGACAGTATGTAGAGACAACTGGATTATATTCGAGGGGAATCTTTCACAACTCTGCATTTCGCTTTTTTCTCAAAAGAAAAAAGAACTTCGCTAACGACCGCTCGTCAGCGAAGCAACAACGAACGCCATGAGACTCCGCTCGGCTCCTCTGTTCAGCGTCTGAATCAGTGTGTGCTAGCCCGGCAGCCTTGTATTCCATGGTCCCTTTCTGTACTCCAAACTTTGAGCTCCAGCCTAACAAAAACGGCTACTGATCGATTGCCTACCACAGCCACCTAAACAGTTGAGTTCAGAAGGTGATCATCTCCCATGCGCGGTCAGGCCCAGACTGCGAGCAGGGACATGAGGCCGGCCCCGAGCAGCAGCGAGACGTTGAGCGCCAGCTGCAGCCGCGCCCTGCTCTGCACCCTGGGCTTGCTGAAGTCCTCGGCCAGGATGTCCACCAGCGCCATGTACACCAGGATCCCCGCCGCGGCCGCCTCCAGCAGCCCCTGCACCACCAGCGCCGTCGGGCTGCTCTCGTCGTACACCGAGGATATCGCGATGCCGACGCCGATCCCCGCCGGCGTCGTCAGCGAGAAGAGCAGCCCCATCGCCACCACGGACTTGAGCCGGAACTTGGCCTGCCGTAAAACAAACGCACGGTTACTTTCAGTGGTAAATTTTCAGGCATTTCGGTCTCAGCAGATCGACACGTGGAAAGAAACTACGGTGTGCTCTGCTCACCTGAACGATGCAGCCTCCGAGGCCGATGCCCTCGAAGAGCTGGTGGAACGTCAACGCCGGCACCAGCGGCCGCACCGTGCTCGGGAAGTCGGAGGCGCCCAGCGACATCCCGATGATGAGCGAGTGGACCACCACACCCAGCTCCAGCACCTTCGCAACAAAGGACCACCGGCCAATCAGTGAATCAGATACGATGCGACACCCGACTCGATTGCAACGCTCTGTTTTGTTTCTATCTATTTGATATTTGATGGTTGAAGGAACCGTGCTGACCTGAGAGATGACGCGGTGGCGCACGAGCTCGTCGCCGTCGGCCGGGGCGGCGAGCACCGACATGCCGTGCGCGTGCCCGTGGTGCCCGTCGGGGGCGGATTCCGGGTCGTCATGAGCCGGCTCGTCGGTGACGGCGGCGGCCCGCTTGGCGTTCGTCCGGTGGAAGTACCCCGTGGCGACGGTGTCCACGATGAGCGTGGCGACCGCGGCGAGCATGGCGACCAGCCCGGCGAACGGGAAGCGCCTCCACGGCCCACCCACGAGGCACGGGGACCGCAGCGCCTCGAAGGCCGCGGGCAGGATGTGCACCATCCCCGTGGCGAGGATGACGCCGCCCGCGAAGGCCTTGACGGCGAGGAAGAGGTCCGTCTCCGACCGGAGCGCCGGGAACCGGCGCCCCAGGGACGGCAGGCCCGCCCCGATCGCGCTCCCCGCGAGGATGCAGAAGATGGCGATGATCTTGAGCCGCAGCGCCTGCGCCTTGTCGCGCCCCGCCGACTCGGCCTCGCAGCCGTCGTCGCCGTCTCCAGGCACGGCGAGCGCGGGCGCGACCAGCACGGAGGCGGACACGGCCACGAGGCAGAGCACGGCGAGCGCGCGCGAGCCCATCCGCTACGCGGAGCTATGAAAGAGCAAAGATGGCTCGGCGGTGGAGTGCGAGTGCGAGTGCAGCAGAGGTTGCCTTGGCGCATGCGTATTTTGTTGGGAAGGTTCTTGTAGGAGTAGGAGAGGCGCCATTTGAGCCTGGGCCGAGCTTGAGCGGCGGTTCCCAGATGAGATGGGTGTGCTCACTATGCCGAGCGCGCCTCGATGCACGCGAAGGGCATTCATCGTTCGGTTTGGACGTTTGCTAGTACCTCGCGCGGCCAAATTGATGCCTCCATTTGGCCGAATATAACTACCAATAATGCGATTCTAATGCTTTATTTATCTTTTTTACAGCTACTTATGATCTTCTTAATGCGTGTTGTTTTCCACGGGACAACGACTAACCATTGCCATAATAACCATTTTTTTTTGCGGGGGTAAAAAAAAATTGCCATAATAACCATGACTTAATCAGACAGCTCACATGCTCTAGGTTCATCTTAGCACTACTTTTTTTTAATAAAATTTACAGCTACTACTTATGAGCATCTTGCTGTGTTGTTTTTGACGGGGCAACAACTAACCATAACCACGAGATAATCAGAGGACAGTAATCTGTTTCACAAACAAAATGCGCCACCTAATGTTAGCCGTGCTTATATAGTGCATACAAAGTGATTAATTAAACGGCTAAGCTAGTATAGCAACTCCACCATAACGTCGGTATCGGCGGTGGTCTCATGCACTCTCAAGAAAAGGTTGGCATGTTGTTATAGTGTCGACACCCTCAAGAAAACAAGGCAGGGCCTTCTTCTCTTCCTGTCGCAGAGAAGGGGAGTGAGGACACCCCTGGCCCCGACGTTTTCAGTAACGTGTAGCCAGATGAAGGGCCGATGACATCATTTGCCGAGAAGTTCATCTCTTCTCTTTTAGCAGTCAATCTTTTCATTTGTCGATTCGTGACCCTGACCGCGCGCGCACACACGTGAGACGGCTTCATTGTACAACTTTTGATCGTTGTCATGTTGTATACTGAATGAACGAACGGATAAGGGTCTTTAAAAAAAAATAGATAAGGGCATCGGCATCCGTCCGTGGACACGGATACGAGAGCCAATCATCCAACACTACCACGTAAATTTCAAACATAATTTGACTAAACCGAATGAAACTCATGCAAACATCACAGATTTTATTAAAGTTTGGATACAATTTCCATAAAACGGACGGTATTTAGATCGTTTAACTAAAAATATAACAAAAACCTAAGCCCTATACCGGACGGCCATCTCGTACACGTGGCCGCCCTGTTCTGTCACACTGTCGTCGCCATCGTTGTTGTCCCTCCAGCGGCGGAAGGGCGCCGGAGGGCCGTGCCAGCGTTGTCTGGCGGCTACCTGCCGCTCGCGGAGGAGCCGCTCCGGCTCTTGTTGCGCGGTATAGTGGGCCGCCCTTGCCACTGCCAACGACACCAGCAGAGCCCCGGCGGCGACGCCTGCGAGGTCACGTCCGTCAGCACCGCCCTCCCATCTGGTCAAGTCGCAGGCATCAACGCTGACCACTGCATGCTCTGGGCCGATAAGAATGCGACGCGACAAGCGGCGCGGTCGTTCGACGGAAAGCGCGAGAAAGAAGGGTGGGATTTTTGGGTGCGCCAGTGTAGTCACAAGCAAATGTGGCAGTGGTTCGGACGCCCGCAACCCCCCGTCCCCATTTTGTCTCTGGTTTGCAGGAAAAAATGCGTCCGAACAGTTAAGCAGACAGATACATGACCGCGTTGGATGGCTGAACACGTTTGCACCGTACTGTCCGAATGTTTGCGAACAGTTTGTTGGAGATGCCCTAAGAAGAGAGACCCCATGTAGTTTGATAGTTTGATCTACTATACACGTATACATTTTTACTAGCAAGCAACAAGAAAAAGAAAGAGAAATCCTCACTATGCCCCCACAAGATGACTGAGCCAAGAATAAGAACAAGAGAAATTCTTCAAAACGATTCTTTTTTCAGGCGAGGACGATATCTCAGGCCCATATGGCAAGCATGGACATGAGAGCCGTCCCAAGCAGCAATGAGAGGTTTACGATGACTTGCAGCCTTCCGTTGCCCTGCACCCTAGGGTTCATGAAGTCTTCCGCGAGGAGGTCGACGAGGGCCATGTAGTTGAGGATTCCGGCGGCGGCGGCGCTGAGGATCCCTTGGATGATCAGGGTGTTGGGGCTGTTCTCGTCGTAGACAGAGGATATCCCGATGCCGATCACGATCCCGACCGGCGTGGTGAGTGAGAAGAAGAGCGCCATGAGCAGCACAGACTTCAGGCGGAACTTGGCCTGTCAGAAGTATCATTTACCGCCGGATCATCGGCATTTTCTCTTAAGTTTACGGACCTGATACTGACTTGTGTCGGTCGACGACCTGACACGTACGTACCTGAACGATGCATCCTCCGAGCCCTATCCCTTCGAAGAACTGATGAAAAGTTAGCGCGACCACGAGTGGTCTGATCGTGCTGGCGCTCTGGGAGGCGCCGAGAGACATGCCGATGATCACCGAGTGCACTATGATCCCCAGCTCCAGCACCTTAAGATCAAGCACGCGTAAGCATCGATCGATGCAACAGTTTAGTCACTGCGGTAGTATGGAATGGAATGGATGCATGCATCGGCACCTGCGAGATGACACGCTGGCGGATAAGCTGCGCGCCTCCGTCGTCGGCCCCCGCGGCCGATGACGCAACGACGGCCGACACGCCGTGGGAGTGACCGACGTGCGCGTGATGAGCGTGCGTGGCCTCCACGTCGTCGGCCCCGACGACGGCCGCGGCCTTCTTGGCGTGCGCGGCGCGCTGGAAGTACCCCGTGGCGATGGTGTCTACGACGAGCGTGGCGATGGCCGCGAGCATGGCGACGAGGCCGGCGAACGGGAACTTCTGCCACGGCCCGCTGACGAGGCAGGGCGAGCCGAGCCGCTCGAAGGCCTCCGGGAGGATGTGCACGAAGGAGGTGGCGAGGATGACCCCCGCCGCGAAGGCCTTGACGCCGAAGAAGAGGTCCCTGTCCGGGCTCAGCGCCGGGAACCTCCGGCCGAGCGACGGGATGGCGCAGCCCGCCGCGCTGGCCACGAGGATGCAGAAGACGGCGATGATCCTGAGCCTCAGCGAGCCCGCCTTGTCCTGCTCCTCCTCCTCGCCGCCGGCCTCGCACTCGCACTCTGCACGCGCGAGCAGAGGGAGGGAGGAGACGGCAGCGACGAGGAGAAGGCCCAGGGCGGCGAGCTTGAGACTGGCGGCCGCTGCCATGGTCTAGTCGTCGGGGGCGAAACAACGGCGATGAGCAGCTGGAGAGACGACGTACGCGCGCATATATGCCGGACACAGAACTGCGAGCCAGTGTACCTAATAAAATGAGATATTATCGGTGTGAACGTATCCGATCGCGCAGAGACTTTCTCAAGAAGCCGATATTCCCAATGTCAACCGGGGAGAAGCTTTAGACTTTAGAGTTGCGTTCACGTCATGCAACTTTTCATCTAAGCTAGCAGTATATATGCATGTGGTGCATGAGGTTGCAGTTTTCACTTACCAGCGCGCCACTTTTGGGTAATATTATGTGCGCACCACCTTGCCCTTTTGTTGTGGATGCACTTTCTCTGGTCGACCTCTTGCCCTTTTGTTGTGGATGCACTTTCTCTGGTCGACCTCTCGCCATTTCTGCGTCCAAGATGCAGCACCACATCCCTTCCGCCGCTTCACACTTCCCTACCGAGGCATGATTGGATGGCTTTGGAGCCACTGATCCGATGGTTGAACAAATGGCTTCCCTAGAGTTAATAATGCTCCAACTTAAGCATCTTTCAAAGTTTCAATGTCAACTTGAGCATCCGGTCAACGCCGCAGCCTGTACTGGTGCAGTGATACTCTTTCTCCTGAGATCTGATCTGTGCAGAAAACAAAAGATTGTTGAGATGCACTAAGGGTGTCGACACCGTGAGGGCGCGGCGTGACATGGTTGACTGTGTTTCGCAAGCTATTGATCTACTAGTCTCTACTCCTAATGGAGCAGTTGGTAGTCTCGCTTCCAGGTTTTTTTTCGTCCCACCATTTTCGTCCGGTTTTTTTTCGTAGGTTAACCGTCGTAGATTTTTTTCATCGCCTCCCCCACTTCATCGGTTTATTTTCACTTCACCCTCTCACACAACGTAAAAAATTGAACGGATCAGAACTTTCCATACTAACGCAAATTATTTAGTAATGTCTTTATGTAAAAGAATCAATCACAATCAATCATAATTAATCTTCATAACGTTTGTTTCCTTCCGAATCACGTCCATAACTTTCCTTCCTTGTTTGGGCAGAAACTGTTTGGTAGCAGAGATTAGGAAGCTTCCTATGAGTGTAGTAATACAAAGTATTCTTTTTCTTGATGATTCGTTTCCATGCATGATGATAGTAAATTAGGCCAACATTCACCACTATTTATCAACGTCATCAATCGTATCCATTCCTAGCAGTTGGTAGTCTCGCTTTCAGATTTTTTTTCGTCCCACCACTTTCGTCCGGTTTTTTTTCGTAGGTTAACCGTCGTAGATTTTTTTCGTCGCCTCCCCCACTTCATCGGTTTATTTTCACTTCACCCTCTCACACAACGAAAAAAACTGAACGGATCAGAACTTTCTATACGGACACAAATTATTTAATAATGTCTTTATGTAAAAGAATCAATCACAATCAATCACAATTAATCTTCATAACGTTTGTTTCCTTCCGAAGCACGTCCATAACTTTCCTTCCTTGTTTGGGCAGAAACTGTTTGGTAGCAGAGATTAGGAAGCTTCCTATGAGTGTAGTAATAGGAAGTATTCTTTTTCTTGATGATTCGTTTCCATGCATGATGATAGTAAATTAGGCCAACATTCACCACTATTTATCAACGTCATCAATCGTATCCATTCCTAGCAGTTGGTAGTCTCGCTTTCAGATTTTTTTTCGTCCCACCACTTTCGTCCGGTTTTTTTTCGTAGGTTAACCGTCGTAGATTTTTTTCGTCGCCTCCCCCACTTCATCGGTTTATTTTCACTTCACCCTCTCACACAACGAAAAAAACTGAACGGATCAGAACTTTCTATACGGACGCAAATTATTTAATAATGTCTTTATGTAAAAGAATCAATCACAATCAATCACAATTAATCTTCATAACGTTTGTTTCCTTCCGAAGCACGTCCATAACTTTCCTTCCTTGTTTGGGCAGAAACTGTTTGGTAGCAGAGATTAGGAAGCTTCCTATGAGTGTAGTAATAGGAAGTATTCTTTTTCTTGATGATTTGTTTCCATGCATGATGATAGTAAATTAGGCCAACATTCACCACTATTTATCAACGTCATCAATCGTATCCATTCCTACCAGTTTTAAGGGAATCTGCTCGCTATGTCTTTTTTAAGGGGATCCGCTCGCTAAGTCGTCGTCGCACGTTATTTTCACAAGCAATTCCCCTAAAAAATGGCGTGGGTATTGGTAGTTGAACGCCCGCTAGGTTTTCCGCATGTCCCATTCTCGCGCTGTGCCGCCGCCACCCGCCGAATTTCCAGCCGCCCAAGCCCGTTAACTTCACCAGCCATCGGGTCGACTGCCCCCGCCCCAAACCCCCATCCCCGAGCACTAGCTATCGCCGCGTTGCCGCCCCAAGCTCCACGCCACCGGAAACGAATCAAGCACCGTCCTGACACCGCCTTCGCCGGCCCAGCACCTCCAGCCTTGCATGGACAGCTTCAATGTGCAGTCTCTCTTGTTGTCTCACCTTCTGCCAGCGCATGCAGCGGCAGGGTTGGACGCGTGCGTGCTTGCTAGCTTGCTCTCCGTGCGTACGTACTTGCTCTGCGTGCGTCGCACCGGCCAATGCGCATGATGCGTGTGTGCCTGCTTTTCTGTATGTGTATGCCAGCGTGATGCGTGTGTGCGTTGCTGTGTGTGTATGATATAGATGGCCCGAGTGTGTGCATGTTGTGCTTTGCTCTCTGCCGATCTATGTGTTGGTGCTCCTGCTATATGTTCATGCCATACAAATGAAATTTCTGTCAATCTTCTGCATGTTGAGTTGGTTCTCTCTGTCTTCTGAGGGGGTGAATGCAAAGCAGTCTATTAAGCCAGGCACTATTGCTGAGCTAAATTGACAAAAAAATATTGGTAGCCATAGTTGTAGTTTAAGTAGTAGCAAGTTGTCTGATATGTATAAAGAGCCCGTTGCAACTGAGTCCGTTGCTAAATTGACAAAAAAAGTCGCCAGTGTCATTTGATATGTATAAGAATATTAAATGTATTATTAACATGATTAATATTGAACTCTTAAAATTAATGTGGCCCCGTTGCAACGCACGGGCGTTCTTCTAGTAGTACTAGAAGAACACCCGTGCGTTGCAACGGGGCCACATTAATTTTAAGAGTTCAATATCAATTATGTTAATATTATATTTAATATTCTCATACATATCAAGTGACATTGGCGACCTTTTTACCATCAAATTCTCACACACACACTCTCTCTCCCTCTCCCTCTCTCTCTCTCTAACACACACACATATCCATCTTATTGGGCACGGGACCATAATCCATCTATTTCACACGCACACGCGCTAGTGCATAATAATATGGATTATAAAACAGGTTCAAGGTAGTAACAAGAATTCTTCTCATGCATTAATAAACAAATGTTCTGCACTGAAGACAAGATAAACAATTCCCAAAGTGCATCAGAGCATCACAAAATATTACTGGCAAGATAAATGCACGACGATACACCCGACTCATTTAATTAATATAATTAAATTATCAGTAAATTAGTCACCAAACTGCTCGGATGAACCGGAACAGAGCCAACGTATATCATCCTAGACAAACGCAACATCAACCATTTACCTTGGTACTTTAGGGACCGACAGGAGGATGCATGTAGAAGCGCTTCTTGCCTGCGAATCCACAGTCAGAGAGAGAAATTGGAACCCATTCCCATCACCAACTGATAAAGAAAGCATGTAAGAAAATTGATATCGGGCCAACTTGGATCTTCGGTGATTGTCCGCCGGTATGGAGAATTTAGGAGGGTGGGTGCAGGGAGTGGCCTTGTGGATGATGGATGGAGGCGCGGAGGGATGTGGTCACCGGAAGGTCGAAAGCAGAGAGGGTCGGGCACGTTAGGTGGAGCCGGTGGTGCGCGACAACCGGAGGCGGCCCAATCGTGGGCGGCGAACCGACGATAGCCTCGGCCCATCTCTCGACGCAGCGAAGATAGAGAGGGCGGCACTGCCGGTGCTCGAGGCCGCCGCTCGGCACCATCTACATCGAGGGGAAAGAGAGGCGAGAAAGTGATAGGGTGATGCGGGGCTAGGGATTGCGGAGGAGGGTGGGGGTGTGCGATTTGAATGGATGGTTCTGCCCACCGTTTTCTTGTACGTGGCGGTGGGGACGGCAGCGTCCAACCATGCAGGCGAGGCATGGGTCGAGCCGGGCACACGGCGAGGCGCAGTAGCAGAGGCGGGGGCGATTTTTTGCTACTGAGATGCAGGGTGTGGGATTGATCGTTCATGTTCTCTTTTCCCTTTTAACGGGAGATGGATGCGATTTTTTCACGAGGGGAGAGATGCGACCACGTACAGATTCCATAATAAATTAATTAGGTCCATAACGGGATTTCTTTACAATGCGTTAAGATTTACGTGTTAGTTTTCTTAATAAAGAAATGCACTGATGTAGGAATCGATTGATTCGGGTAAGGAAAGATAGATTCGTGATCTTTTGTATGTTAGGAAATTAGTGGTTTGCAAGGAAAGAGTGGAGAGAAAAAGAACCAATGCGACCACGTATAGATTTCATAATAAATTAATTAGGTCCATATCGGGATTTGTTTGCAATGCGTTAAGATTTACGTGTTAGTTTTCCTAATAAAGAAATGCACTGATGTAGGGCGTGATTGGTTCGGGTAAGGAAAGATAGATTCGTGATCTTTTGTATGTTAGGAAATTATTGGTTTGCAAGGAAAGAGTGGAGAGAAAAAGAACCAGTACGAGGGGGTGGTGGGAGGTGGGACGAATAAAAACCGGACGAAATTGGGAGGTGGGAGGGGGCGAGTAAAAACCGACAAAAAAGCCAACGAAATTGGGAGGTGGGAGGGAGGATGAAAAAAACCAGGGGAGGTGGGAGGAGGACAAAAATAAACCGTACGAGGCTACCAACTGCTCCATTAGGAGTAGAGATTGTTTGTAAAAATAACGTGCGACGACGACTTAGCGAGCGGATCCCCTTAAAA